GTAAACTTATAACTTGATATTTCACCTATATCTTTATATTTAGATAGTTACTACATTTAGCTAATAGTGTATTGTGTCTCCATGGTTACTCTAGTCACGATGGCAAACATAATAGTTTTATTGTTATGTAATAATCTGATCCATCCACTGTCAATATCAGCTACTCTCGAAATGGTCTACTCGTTTGACTTCGCTTCTTAAAAGAGAGCTTCATCTTCACAGTTCATCACTAGACTGCGCGCAGGGTAGAAATGGTTCAAATGTGAAATCAATAAATATCGTTGCTTCTTTTTTAATTTCAAGAACCACAAGTTATACAGTACAAATTATTTTGGCCCTAGCCCAACATTTTTGCGCAAACATTACATAAGTAATATATGGTACAACTAAAAAACATATCATGTTGTATCAACATTTGAGAGAAGAGCATTCCTTTATTAGACAAGTTCAAACAAAAAACGAAGAACACTGAAAAAAGAGGATAGATCGAAATTACATTTCATTGAATCGTCTTTCAAAAAATGATTAGTATACAATACCTGAACGTGAAATATCGAGATCATATGCCTTATTCTTTGGAATTTGCTGCATCTTTGTTCACAGTGTTTCAGTTGCAACTGGATTCGAAGATGATTTGCAGAGCAAAAGCTCAATGTGATACTGACATTTTGCAAGTTAATGCCTTGCCAAACTAACGATATGAAAGGAATTGATGGAAGTTCCATCTCTCACGATGGATGCATTTAGAAAGCAAGACACTACAGGCTATACTAGGCTAGAAGTTTTATTAGAAATTCAAGATGACTATTATGCATTTTCAACAGGAATATTAAAAGTCAACATTCATACATACGTCATTAAAATTATGATTGTTAAAAATGGTTCTCATTATAAAACTGCTGTAAAAAGTATAAATATGCCTAGTATTTTTTATTTTAATACCATTTGGTTCAAGTTTTGTATCCATTTTACTTTATGCTACTTTCTATCAAAATTTAATCATTTTTTAATACTCGACTCTCAAGTTGATGAATGAATTGAAATGTATTTTGATGTTTGCAAAGTCATTATTAACATTTTTGTACTGATATACACTTTGAGATGTTAAGTCATTATAGAGGGATTAAGATACACGTGATTGCGAGAGTTAGAACGTAAACGCGTAATATTATAACCTTCGGGAATCACTGCCCCCTCCCCCCTCTCCTGCCCTCATTTGGTTTAATCGGAGACCTTATTACAACTACTTTCTTTACACCGTCCTACTCAATGGGGCTAATAATTGCCAGTGAAGTGAAAATAGTTTATAGGGGACCATACTTTTGCACGTTTCACGTACACGTATCGCTAACTTAACCTCTCTAATATAACGCCATTCCCGTCATATGCATTTTTGATGTGAAGGAAGTCACTTTATACAGTAGAGAATCAAGTTCCATGTATTTTCATGTGTGTAAAGTCACCTTTAGCGGTGCTACTGTACATGCATTTTGGGGAGAGAGATAATAATTTAATTTTGCATCATCAATTTGCATGCATTTTAACATTAAGGTGTGTAAAATCATTAAACGTAATATATATAAAGTAAAACCTGTGTTATATTGAACTTTTTGCCGCGAAAAAACGTTCAGTGTTGGTAGGTGTTCACTACAGAGAGGGTTATTTATACATAAGTTTAATGTATGTGCTGAAGAATGGTGTCCACTAGAAACAGGTGTTCAATGAAGAGGTGTGTTCACTAAGTCAAGTTTTACTGTATTCAATTCCATGACTTCCGAGGGATGTAAAACGATCTACTTGCATAGAAAAATCGAAACGCCAACCTAAACGTATGATCAATCGCCCATACAAATGCATCGCTTAAAAACATTTTCCTTTCACGTTTAGGTTGTGAAAAACATTGCAAGCTTAAACTTCCTACTGACTATTTAACACAAAGCATAACATTTCATTATTTTGAGGGATGTTAAAAGAGGCAATCTCTATATGTTATATCTACCAGTTTTGATGAATTATATTGTGCCCTAGGTCCAACAACTTACTAAATGTAGATAACACCCCCATCATAGAGGTCAACAAGTCATATATATATTCATCAATATTCATTCTAACAAAGATAAGACATAACAACTGTCAATTCAATGAATCATCATTCCACTTACAAGTTTGATTTGCCAATTAAACTTTAATTTTTATAGCTTGAAATCAACGGTGGTGAAATCACAATTTGTGATTTAATCAGAATTCATGATCTTAGGGAATCTGTGTGTAGTTTACTATTAGACGTCATGATTAAACTCCATATATTTTACAACGCAGACATCAATCAATAAAGTATCAAATTGTAATTAAAGGTAGAGAGATTCTAAATTACCGGCAGACTGATTAAACTCTGGGAACAATAACCGTTTTTATGAATTGAGGAATCTCTGATTTTTTAAAGTTTTCTCGCATTAAAGAATGAAAATGCAAGAACGATTGCAAATATTGTAATAACATTTATTTTAGGATTTTTTTTAAATCAGCGCAGTTTTATTCACATCTCTTTTGTCTATAGTGAATTATATTGAATGGGCGTGATCTCAAGAATGAGCTATAAATTACTTAGAAATAGATCCGTTTAATTGTACAGGGTGTATAAACATTTATATTATAACTATTAGGTTTATAAATAAGTGGAATTTTATTTTACAACGTGGTGTTATCCTTTATCAACTTCAATAATTCAATATTTTATCAACTTAAATTGATTTATTCATTCTCGTCTATTGTTTAGATAAGACTTCTCTACTTGAATGATTGTGAAATTTTGGGATTGATCTAGTCCAAGTTTATGAAGATTAGCAGTATATTATTAAATATTTCTTTTATCAAACTATGGGCAATATCATATTATTATAACCAAAGTACCAATGCAATAAGCTTTCTCTTATCTTCCATCTAACACCTTTCTCAGTTTACCTATATCAATTAAACACTTCCTATAATTTTTATTAATCCCGTGTTTCAGATTCATAAATTGTCACTGGACTTGTAGAGACCTTCCTCTTAAATAATATAGTCGAGGGTTACTATGAAATAACACGAAATTGACAGGCTAGAGTCAATTAGATAGAACCTTGCTCTTAAGAGTTCTTAATATTCCGCGTAATGTAGAGTTAATAGGCAATCGTAGCTCACTTCATTTGTTCCATCTAAGTCTACGATTTCTTTATAGCGTAATTTCCAATTGAAATTAATACGCTATTATTGCGCAGACAAAATCACAGTGAATGAGAGAGAGAAACGCTGCCTGGATGAACAAATGGTGAATTAGAGGAGAAGCAAGCTAGAATAAGGAAAGAATGATAATTACAAATAAGACATTCCTGGAATTGTGTTTTAAGATGACTTGACTAATCGACCCCACATCACCGATACTCACCTCCTCGTTTCTCACCACTAACCCTACAACTTTCAAACAACTCCGATCCCACACCACTAATGGGAACTTTGGATGCCCATCCATTTGTCTTGAAACGATCTTGTAATTTTGATGTTAAGAATTTTATGATCATGGTAAACCAATGCAATTTTAATCAGAACGAGTGAACGTTGTAAAAAAGAGATGATTTCGAGTTTGGATATTTGCTTGGTACTATTAGTGTACATGTATTCCTATTTAAGTCTTACGGAATATCGAGTGATGAAGATCATCCTTCAAACTCACGGCTCCAGACCTCATCTACTCTTTCTTTCCTTCTTCCCAGAAGGACGTAGAAGAAAGGAACAGAGAGGATTCTGGGCCCCTGCGTTCGGAGAATGGATCAAGCTGCTGGTAATACATGCAAAAATGGTTGAGATATCTACGACAGTTGACGGAAGCCTTGCAATCTCTTGCACTGGAAAAATCAGATCATCGAGTGTCTCGTCTCCTCCCTTTGTCAATTTAACATCGTACCAGGTAGAATTATTGGAAAGCTGGAGATGTTCTTTTCAGTACAGTTTTTCCTCTTTAGTTTTCAGATTTACCTTTCTCCTTGTGAATTTAGACGCCGCCTGGCCGCCACGGTCAAAAGGCTTCTCTGATGCATCTTCGTTCACTTGGCTGCATCTTCGTTCACTTGGCATCGCTGGACCCAGTGACGCCGAGCGTCCGTAGGCTTCTCTTATGCCGAGGATGTTCGCCACAGTCTTCTGTCATTGGAAGCAGGTAAAGTCGTAACTTTTGTAAGCAACATATAATTCGTCTTATAGTACAATCTCATTTTGATTTTCAGTAGGAAATAGTGGGGGCAATCAATGTATTTTGTTTCATCTAAAGTAGGTCAAGCTTTTTCTCAATAACTTTAACATGTTACATCGTGCAAATTGTGCGCGTATCATTAAAGCTGATTGAACGTGGAACAACATTAATATAACATTAAGGCAATATATCTTGGCTCACAAATCAGAATTTAATGATCCGAGTTCTCTCAAATCAAAATGGCGTCTTGACTTCCAGAGCTTCATATAAATGCAAAAAATCATCAACTTTGATAAATCACTTGTCTCTTTTCAGCCTATACCTTTCTCAATTGGGGAAACGTCTGATGGGTTTATATTATGGATATTGATGATGCCCCAGTCAATGATGTTAAATTAAGATCTAAGCACGCAAATCGGCTGCCATAGTTGTTAATAATTGAAATCAGTAGCAGACAATTAGTTAATAGGTACTAGGGATTGATCTGCGCTCAAAGACGCAAGTTAATCACTTAGCATATTCTGAGAGGAATTTATTTTGCTTTTTGAAGGAGAACTCAGAGGATGATGTCGGTTGTCTGCACTTGGAGGATGCCTTGTGTGATCTGCAGAATCGCTAAGGTCATCCATACTTTCGGTTTATTTTTGCAAATTATGATTTTCAACAAATATGTCATGGGGCTTACGATGATTGATGGATTGATACTTGCAATTGTTGATTGAATTCGCAACAAACTAATTTCATTGAATGAAAACAATTAGTATTAACTATATTTTCAACATAAGAACATGATATCCTGTGTGACAACTAGAATGACCATTCGCATGACAAGTGAGGCTAGCCATCTCAGTAGAAAAACAATAGACAGTGTTTATCATAACAATTCCCCCTATCTGATAGATAGCTCATCAGTATTAATTCAGAGCTTGACAAAATTACCCCATCATTCCTAGATCTGAGTATATAACATACCCTGATTGTTCATTGAACATAAATTAAGTACACAATCAATACACGAATAGTGCCCACTTATTATAGCCCCTGTCAACTCCATGATACCGTGTGCTACGCCCCGTTGATACCAGGATGGCAATATAAAAGAACAGGAGCACACAATATCACAGGGCTCTTATTCCTTTGCTGTTACCAGTTGATATGTTGGTTCGTAACCTGTAGATTTTTATTGCACATGAATAGTGTCATACACCGACACGTCCTTAATACATTATTTACAGATTCGCATTCAAACTATCATTCTACTGGACACTCGGGTAGGATCTACGCCCCGATCATATCGTGAGTCGCTCGAGCTCATGCAATAATCGGGGTGTACATACTACTCATAGGTCACAAAAAATGTGAATATTGGTAAATAAATCTGCTCTTGTGAAATTATGCGCCTAGTTTTTCATTTGATTTGATTAAAAAGCCGCCCGTATCAAACATGGCTAGCCATGGAATCTCATTTTTGCAGCCATCATCTTGTAACAAAATGGAACTAGGAATTCATAAAATTAGGTGAAGTTTGATATAAATATTAATCTCTGAACGACAGAATAAATGCAAGTCAGTCATTAATCACTGAAAATTTAAAATTAGCAATCATTGAGCTTAGATACCATCTCCTCGGGATGCGCATCGTACGTAGGCTGCAGAACTTGAACTTGTTGTTTCTGCATGGCTTCCACCTTACGGTCCATATTGTCATTTTGGTTGTGGTCACGTGGTGGGCAACCGTTCTGTGGCGACACAGGGCTATGACGAGTGTCACGAGTATCGCGAGTGTCCAGATTTGCACGAGTGTTCATATTTGTGATTGAATCTCTTGATTCCAAGTGTTGGTGGAGAGTTTGCTGTTGGAGCTGATCGGGATGAAGGTGAGAGATCTGGGGGTCGCCTCCACGCACATTTAGACCGAGAGGTTGACCGTGTATTGTCTTGCTGGCGTCCTTGACGACGCACTGAGCATTTTGGATTTCAGCAAGTTTGTTCTGTCTTTGTTTAATCGTATCTATATGCTTCTCACCTCCTAGTTTATATTCGGCAGCCTCTGAGTTGGAAATATTTTCTGTCTTCTTCCACTTGGTACGTCTATTTTGGAACCAAATCTTAACCTGGAAACACAAAAGATATTTATATCATAATCAGAGGTCGTGAGTTCGATTCCGAAGAGAAGAAACATTTCAGTTTTCATCATCTTACATTTTAACAAATTATTTTCATCATCTGATATTAGAACAATTGGTACAAAATTGATGGGCATTCCACAAAATTTACACTCTACGTGCCAAAAGATTTGTTCACTTCTGCTTAATCTGATTCAGTGAGCAGTTAACAGATAAAATGTTCTCGTGAAAAATATGACCAAACTATAGATAGACAATCCTTTCTTTAATCACAATACCACGAGTAAATGCTCCATCTTATTGCAATACTAAATTTCCCATCTGGAATTCGGCGATAAGAAAAGTTTTGTTTTAATAGTCCTAAGGATCTGCAGGTTTGTGGTTTGGATATTCCCACTTTCAAAACTCATACTCTCCCTACTTTGTTAGCGATACTATAATAGGTCTAACATATTTCTAAGCACCCCAAGATATAAATTCGCTTGTTGTCAGACGTTCTGTTGAAAAGAGAGATACGCAGTGATGTCTATATCTTGTTTTTACTACCTCCAGATTTTATCGCTTTGGAATTTGAATGATCGTTTTTTAACCCTGATCTCATATGCTGTTGTGGCAATTTCCCACCAAAAAGAACAAAAATGAATTGTTTCTGAACTCGGTTCTGTTCTGTTCTAATAGCCTGGAAATTATTAACAATTTAATTTGCCTTTTAAATACTGCACTACTGACTGGATTCTTGTATTGGTTATTGTTTTTCAGTGTTTATTAACATACGATAATTTTCTAAAATTAATATGCTAAAAGTTTGAGAAAAAAATTATTAGCAAGAAATTGTAAATCAATTTTATTCACCATTCCCCCTCTCCTTGAACAAACATTTTCCAATACTCTTCGGATTAAGGTAGAAGCATTCATGTGAGATCATTGAGATTCAAGTAATGCGGAACAGGCGGACATATTAACATATCAACATGTTAAGATTTATTTAAATAAATGTTTTGATTCCAGTAGCATTGGGTATCTAGTAGCATCTAAAAGAGCGAGAAAAATTAAACAGTCACATCAAATTACACCGGATAATATCTAGCGTAATCTACGCTTGGGTCTGGTTGTGTTAAAAAAGTTTTAAAATCTATAACATCTTGCCAAACATCTCACTTATCAACTGAAAGTGATGCCTGTTTCAGTTGGCGCAAGCTGTCTTCTCAAACAAGATAAGAGAATGAGTTATACACCGTTTTTGTAACTGTATACTTCATTAGGGGCTATTTACAGTCATTATGTGCTTAGTGTGAGGCTACCAGAATAGGGGTTTGGAATCTGGGTGGCAGATATAGGATACTTCTGATAAAACTCGACTTCTATGTCTTAAACGTTCTGATTGTGCAAACATTTAACACCATGGGTGATGAGAAAGGTTGGGGAATTAATAGCAAAAGGGCGATAATTGAGTAACAAGAACATATACAGTTGGTGATAGAGGAGGTTGTATTAGTAATGCATACCCGAAGTTGATGAAGGAAGGTCATGCAAACATTAAGCAACTCTTGTAAACAGGAACATAACACCAGACTTCGAATGAGCAAGTGTTTTGGTGATTGAATTCCTGAATAACGAGAGTTAAAAAAAATTGAGCATGGTGAATTGAGAGCTGGTTGATCCGGCCATTACCCATACTAGGGCCCATACTACTATAATAGAGTCGATGTGTAGACAAATATAGAATACACACATCCGACAAATACCTCAATTTGAGACAACCCCCTAACCTAACACGGACTATCTACTTAAAGCCATTTCGTGGATGTGCTCTATCTAGATCTATCTACATCATTTTTATTCGACTTATTACATTGACAGGTCACTTAAACTTTGCAAATTTGACATTGTAAAACTTTAAGAATATTTTTACAATCTTAACGTATGAAAGTGATGTATGAAATATCAGTCTACAAAAATAGCTGCATTAGCAGTGTAACTGACAAGTGACGTTGGTATCATTTTGAGCGATTGTTTTATGTTCGCAAATCTTGCACAAAAATCAGTTCTAGAAGTTTCTCACGTTCGGGGAGCCACAGGAAATGCTACCAGGGTCTAGAGGAGTGTTCCCTATCGTTTGACAATAAATCAGTCGTAACATTTCATTCGCTGCTAATTGCAGCAACTCCATCAATATATGGACCTGTCTGCAGTTTCATAGCCCGTTTCATAGCTATTCAGAGCCGCAAAATTAAGATAGGACAATCTAGCATTGTCTTAAGCCATACCACAACTCATTTCTGAATACTTTATCTACTGCACAGATGATAATGGGGAATTAATTTGACACTTATCTTTTTTCTTGACTTTTTCCTATCTTTCATTATTCTGTTATGTTCACTGGGATGCTAAGTTAGAGCTGTGTTAAGAGCTTGGGGTACTTAAAAACCTCCACGATTTACGGAACGATAAATGCAACTTTTTGGACCATTTTACTCATCTGCTATGAAAAAAAAACATTTAAAATAATTTCATAAAAAACGTTTCACATAGCTTTCTCTCTCTGTTTGTGAAACCATTTGTGTTCTACCTAGTAATAACTAGTATATTTTCGGGTTTATAGGACCGGTTCAACTGCCTTTGATACCACTGTAACTTGTTACTCTGTATTCTTACTTTATGTTTAGATTATTTTAACCACAAAATCCAAGATCATGAGTAAGCAGTTATTAATTCACACCAAATTGAATATTAATTGATTAAATACGTCTCGACTGAGACTGATTCTATAAAAGTCTCTGCTTTTCAATTGGAAAACCCAAAGTTATCGTTTGACTGCTGAGAATTGGAACCAGTTTGTCTTCATTGCTTAGTTTATCAATCATATTTTAATAAATATTTATGAAATTAGTCGTTAATGTAGATTCAATGTTTCCCAGAGATCTGAAACTGCCAGCCAGCCTCTGCTAGAAATGAGGTGAGAAACGTGTCTCCGGGACGGCATGAGGTCAATTTCAGCCCATTTTCTATCCCTTTATTTTATTTCAGTCCCTATGTATAAACCAGTGTCTTTCTCTGGTATTTCTACAAAATTTAGATTGTCACAAACTACATGTTATTATGTCATTTATTCCTTTTTGAATCCGTTTTTTCTCTTTTATTTTGCATTCCAAAATCATATTCTTAGGTGGAAATTTTTCTCGTGGGCTGGCAAGTAACGACAACCAGCTGACAAAGTCCACGATAAGTGATGACCCTTCCGACTGTGTTGTCAAGCCGTCAAGGTGGCCTTACATTCATAAATGTCATGGACAGGAATCGAGATTTTCAATTAGTAGCCAAATGTATTTTTCATGTATTTTTAGTATAAATTGGGTGGAAGCAATAGTGTCATTTGATGACCCAAAAACAAAACAACAAAACGAAACGAAAAACAAACAACTAGAGACAAACAAGCTGTCAAAGCGGTCGCGAGGAAGGCCTGGAATGGTACGTTTCAATAATCACTATAAAAGACAGTTGTCTTGTCCGTGTTGAATAAGCAACTGTACAAGCATTCTAAGCTTAAACGCAATTGATGATAATGATTGGTAAAAAGTATCCCTAAATGAAAAAAGTAAACATGGTTTGTTTAATCAATTTCAAATTTGATTTTCATTCAATATCAGACTCCCTAAAATAACATAATCCGATAAACATAACTCCGTCTTCACGAATGATTGTGTCAAATTGAAAAAAACAACAAATCTAGTCATGCTGTTGATAGACCTATGAAACGGTTACCCAAGAGGGAAAATGTATATGCTCCCGGAGCTGATGTAATTAATTTCTCTCTGGCCCAGGGCACATTGGCCATTAATCTTCGGGCAGAAATATGACACTTATCTTGGCGGTGGTCTGACAGCATCCAACCGGGAGAGAAGTTGAAAAAATATCAAATGAGCAGCCCCCGTCGATGAGATGAAATAAATAAAAATCATATTTGCTCATGAAGAAAGATTTGTGACTGAGAAATTTAAATTCCTTGCCACCCAGAAAAAACTATAATGATGATTTGCTACGCGTAAAATGGCCCACTAAGATTCAGATACTGTGCCAAAATTTGAGACAGTGAAAACGTCAAATTCTCTCTTGGATTGTATGTCTTTACCAGAAAGTTGTGTGTTCTAATCAAATGTTGCCGCGTGCGCTCTTTTACATCGCGTTTAGTAAGTGGTAGTCTCCATTTTATACGAGACCTTGATTTTGTAAATAATTTAATAAATTTCGTTAACTATTCATTTAATCTCATACCTGAGTTTCAGTCACATTCAATAAGGTTGCCATCTCGGCTCTTTCACTTGACGATAAGTATTTTTTAGCTTCAAATTGTTTTTCCAGTTCGAAGATTTGTCTTCCTGTAAAGGTGGTACGTGCTTTCTTTTTCCGCTTCTCTTCGTCTTCGTGACTGTCAGAGCAGGACCTTTTCCGCTTTTCACCCTCTTCGCTGTTTTCTAAAAGTATAAAATTCCCAAATTATATCTCTCATCTTGCACGATGTAGAAGTGGATTTTTGCATGTGTATTGCCATGGTTTCGATTGTACAATACACATATATTGTAACTCTCTTATATAGGAGGTAAAAGTAAAGAATACAATACAATACAATACACTACAATACAATACAATACACTACAATACAATACAATACAATACAATACAATACAATACAATAATTAACAGTTCATGTACGTTTCGGGATATTGCTTAAACATTCAATATTGTTTACTTTCATGTTTTGTATCTATTGATAAATTTGAAATATACTAACATAAATGCAAACTGGATCGGCAGATAGATTAATCGGTTGATAGTCTCAAATTCTTTTTTAATTGATTTCGGGTAATATATGAATTATGAATACTGTAATGTTTCCATGATATTTGGACTAATGGTTGTCAAACGTATTTATAGTTTCCGGTGATTTGAATCTCATCATTTGAAATTTAATCTTTTATATCTTTTATAGTTTTTTCGTGTCCCTATTTATGATATTCAAGGCGTATGATGAGGTTTTTTCATTGATTGTCACTATTTACCATTTGTTCTGAAATCTACTTGATACAATATCGAAGTTAAAGGAACAATACAGCATATTATATCTAAAAATTATTTTACCAAACGGGATAAATATGAGTTGTCACCAGATTTTGTTTAATAAGCGTTGTTGCGTGAATAAGTCATGGCGTCATAGGAACGTCATGCGCAAAGAGGTTACATTTTTATCAATTGAGCCATGTCAGTCCACTGCAACCAAACGCACGGCAATATTTCTCAACGCTCGAATATGAGTTTCATTTGTTGCTGTTGTTATGATGATTCGACCAATAGCTCTGTTACCACAACTGATAGTAAATAATAGATACGATCTTGAAACGGCAGATGGCATGGGATATTTGAGCTTAAAAGTGAAATCTGACTTGTGAGTTGAATCGTGGCGAACACATTCCAAAACATACAAAACTTTGGGCAATACTAACCTCTTTGTAATGAGCTTCTGGAATTTTTCACAAAAACGTTTGTGTTACCTTTTTTAATTAATATCTACGATTTACTAGCTCATCTTGATTTGCCATGAAAGGAGATTTTCATGAATTTGCTTGGTTCAACAGTGGACTTTCAACTAATTTGAAAGCCCATGGTTCAACTGATGCGTATTTTTGAAGAGAATGTCTAAGTATCAAAGAGATGCACTTTGTGACAAATTTCAATGCACCTTGATAGACGAGATCTCTTTCAATGAATCAGTGTTGATGCAACCTATCAATACAATAAAGAAACGCGATCATCGGGAGGATTTTCCCCCGAAAAGAAAATGAATTAGATGAATCCCGCGTACACGCACTAAAAAGCTTACGAAAATGCAAGATGAAGATGAAGCTGTTTAATTCTAGGTAACATGAAGGGAAGGGGCGTCATGAGTGAAACCAAGGGGAATGTTTGCGGGGGTAATGTATCACGAGAACTACACTATCACTTGTGGGATTAATTTAGCCTTATAGCGCGGAGATCATTATTTCTTTCTATCTATTTGTTTCCGCTTTATTTCTCATTAATTTAGAGAAACACATAATTTCTATTTCCCTTACACACTAATGAGTCCTTAACTCGACAATACGAATTCAGAGAGGGTCTCGGAGTCTTTAAATGTATTTTTGACGACAATTGAAGGTCGGGAATAAGATAAACACATAGGATCTCCTTTTCCCAATTTTCAAGTGAGTCCACGAGCTCGAAATGGACTGAACGCGTCCATTGGAAGAATCCGCAAGCGAAGATAATAAGAGACCGGCGATAGGATGACTACTAGAGACTCTCTTAATTGGGTCTATGTACTAATAGCAGTCATCTCCTCAAACAAGGAAGTATGAATTTGTTCATCCGCGAACTGCATCATGGGAAATATTTTGACCTTATAAGGAAATATTTTCGCGTCTCCTCTTTTGAAGAGGGAACAACGATCTGCTCAATTAGAGCAAAAAGGTGTTGAACCTTGTTGAAAAAAACATGCCACTCTGTAAAAAATCTGTTTACATTTTGCGTAAATGATGAAACATTTTTATCAGAACAATGATGTCATCTTAGGATTTACCTTCACGGGGAGACCAATTGAATTGATCCAAAAGAATTACTTAATGATTTAAATAAAATCACTAATTAAATCGCTAAATCAAATTTTACTTTCTCATTAACTACGGCTGAGCGAAGCGAATACTTGCCCTACTCCATGATATGGACCATCATGAATGGATATTGACAGCCACATACAGATAAAAATATCTCGTATATGATTGATTTGATACACAAATAAAATGATGATTCAGTGTAATTTGTATCCTAGTTTTATTTCGTTACACACCTCTAACGATGTGTAATTGAGAGGCGATAGAGGGTGATCGGATTTTCCCGAGTTAATACTAATAGCAATCATTACTCCGAGGTACTTGTCTAATCTTACTAATTTAAGATTTATATCGTATCTTCTTCATCTCGACGACATAATCGATATATGAAATATATAGGACTACTATCTGACTATGTCTATTATAGGTTAAACCCCCGGGACAATATTCTTCAGTCCTTGTATAAAGGGTTAATAGGCAGGAAATTTCTAAATGTGATATTGAGAATCTCGCTACCCTTTTCCAGAGCTGTAAGCTACGCTCTTCATATAAGAAATAATTATTTGATTTAGATTTTTCATGAATTACAATGAAACTATATCGAAGATCATTCAGATTTTATGAAAAGTGAGAAATCATCTATACAAGTTAGCACATAGAGTCTGGCAAGCCGTTGAAGATTCAGACACTCAGGCTTCTCAGGATAGGCCTACTTTGTCTTGATATTTCGATTTAACATGTTTCAGGAATAAATTAAAATGTAAATGGGGCAGAAATAAAAGATTGCTTGGCAGAACAATATGTACAAATTCACTCAATTAGCGAATATGATGTAATTATCTTTACAGAACTTAAAACAAGGCATTTAAAAACGCCAGCGTTAGGAATATTTGGAATCTTCGATAAACGCCTTAAAACCATGGATAACATAGATAAATATAGATAATAAGCTGTTTCAATCCCGTTTTCTGTATATCAGTAGCCCTCCCTTGGATCTGTAAATGGATGTAATAATTTAATTAACTCGATTTGTCCTCTTAGTTGGCTAATATCAAGCTGAGACATGTTATCCTGAAGAATTTTAACACATTTTTTTCACACCTTATCCCCATCATGGGAACTGCGTTTCGTGATCATTAGGCTCGTGTCCATGTTACACACGATTCTCGTCAAGTTAAAATTCCCTCGGAACAATAACTGATATGATCAGAGTAAGTGACAATGTGTGTCATACCTGTGCGCATCGTGTCTCTCAAAAGTCAAGGATGAACTGCTTTTATAAGAAGGGGGTTGTGTAACGACAATATTTTCACGCTTTTCTGTATGATGAAAATAACCTAATAATTATGACGCGATTGAATGCAATTTATTTATTAACATTGAAAATCTAATGTCAATGATACAGTTTTCATTAAGATATTGAAAGTTGCTTCAGATATTTCTCAGTCGTGTTTACTCCTTGTATTTAGTCAAAAGATAGTCAGGAGAGTTGATAGCTCAATAACGGAGTTGTGATTTGATTGAGAGTGTTATAAGTGATGAAATTATCGCTAAAATGATTTTAATAGGGACAGTATTGATCTCTGCTCGTTTAATAGCTTCAATAACGACTTCTAGTGTGGCATCACTTTAGCATCACTACCAACTGCAAGCTAATAAAGCCAATGAATCTGAACTACAGGCAGATTGGCTATATGTCGTGATGTATCTCCTATCAAAGGACCACTCCAGATCAGAGACTATAATATTGTATCTGTGTTACCCTTAGGAGAGATCGTATTTGATTTCATGTATTTTTATAGAACTTTTTATTCTTCAATTTTTCTTTTTAGAACCAAGAGGATTAGTATTAGGCTATTGCTAATGATTTCAGAAATGTTGTCACATGTGTCGCAAAATGGCATCATATAGATCCAATGCCTCTCTTCTCTTTATAACTATCATGTTGGAAGTGTGATCCTAAAATTTTCGATTGAACAAATAATACCCGTAGGTGTACCTTTACTCAAGGGACAAGCGGTGGAATTTGCAGCCAATGCTTTCAGAAATGATATCGCCCACTGTTTGTTATATGCTATTATATCTAGAGGAGAGAGAGATGTGGTTGACGTATTGTCAAGAACAAAAAGATGGATGTTGACACCCAAATAACTTCAATTAAAAAAGAAAGAATACAATAAGTGATCTGGGCACTAGTATTTGAAACATAGTGTAAGGCCAAATGTTATAAAATGTTTGTCTTAGACACCTACTGAGAAAACGTGAAGAATGGATGTTCGGCATATAGTTAGTTACCCTGAAGTACTTCGCACGTAAATGTGACCAAAAAATATTTGAATTGAAAGTTTGTTGAATTAAATGTTAAATGGTGTCAATACTTTAATTTGAAGTCAGATTTCCTGTCGACAAACTTTCAAACTAACTGATTTGGAACAATTAAACCTCAAAGGTAAAACAAATATTTGACTTCAAATATGGGACCATGAATCAATTTTAAGATTAAGATAATTTTCTTAAATAATGCCTAACGCCGATTGAGATAATATTTAGCGATCTTTGTTTATTATTACTTATCCTCGAAATGATAAATCAATTTATCAATATTTGATACAACTTGAAGAAATCAATCTAGCCGGTATTGGTCAGTATCTGTCCTATCTTAGAACAATACTGGTTCCAATAAACTAAATTAAGATTATCAAAAATATCTGTATCTCCGGGGATTATTCTTGGGCTTGTTTGCTAGGAGCAAGATATACGTTCTTAAAGTTCTTTGAAGTTTTTGAAGATTGGTTTACATAAACTTTCGGACATTGTTGCGAATGTTAACCTACTTGGGGAGGCTTGAGATTCAATAGATCTGGAGTGTGCAATATAGAAATGTGTTTAATTTTCTAATTTTCCTACATGTTTTTACTTGATGTACAAGTACAAGATGTGAAAAAAAATTAAGTGAATAGTAAATCAAACTATGAAAATATTTTGGTAGTGTTAAACAAGAGAGCAAGCATGACAAAATATTCTCCTATTCACCATTTTTGTCTCAGATTTGAAAACAACTTAAAATAATCTTTGTTAGTAAAAACTGGAAATTTCATTCTTAAAACTTCATACTTGAGTTAAGAATTACATCAATTTTAACATTTTCAAACCCAAAAGATATTTATCATTTTGTCATAGTTGTTGTAAAGAAACTTAATGAAATTATTTTTTCAAAAAAAACATTTTTTAATTTTAATAGTAAATGGAACACGTTGATTTGAAAATCTCTTTATATCAATTTAGCGTTGTTTTAATAGCAGTTAAAATAAATCGCTTTTCTTTAAGTAAGATTTAGACAATATATAATTAATTAATTTATTGGATAACAATATACTACTCTAGTATTGAATATGAATATTACTGTTACATCCCGCATTCCAGAGACAAGCTTATTGTTTCTCTTCTTATGTTTTAATCTTGAACGTTACTGGAATAAAAAGATTAAGAAGAACAGCCTGGGCGTCAGAATAGGCAATTCACTGACTTACAATCCTTGTTGAATCTTTGCTATGTCAGTTATTTTGTTAAAATTAGAATTTGAGGCTAAGTAATATGCATTTTAAGTAATTTCGATTCGTATCCGATAAGTAAAATACCATTAATAGTAGATTTAATTGAATAAATAAATAATTGATACATTAAATTAGTTTAAATTGATTAATCACAATAACACGATGTACAGTTCAAAATCAGAACCTGGTAATTGCTTACCAATAAACATAAACTGAATCAGAAATTCAATATATTAAAAATCAAATTCGAACACTTACCATTAATCGAATTATCATCCGAATCTGCCGTAACATCGACGGGTGAGCTGGAGCGACTCGAGCTGCTTTCACACCTCTTTCTCTCGTCCCTTGGGTAGCGGGAACCCCCTGTGACAAGAGCCAAGGGGGACATTTGTTCGCTCACTCGCCTCAGCGCCGAGGCATAGTTCAGTGTGGGGGACATAAGTCCGATTTGGTCTCCGTGGGATCTGGGTTTCCCGTTGCCGATTCTGTCACTTAAAATATCATCGATGTAAAATGAAGATGATTTACGTGCTGGATCTGGCGCTTTGTATATGTGAGGGTGCCACGTCCTCGCCATTGGGTTGTGTGGGGTGGGCATCAGTGGCCGTGGGTGGTGTACAACAGGCGCCTGGGTGCCGAGCATACCTCCAGTATGCACCGGAAAGAAGAATAGTCCTCTGTAATCCAGTTTGATAGAATAAATGACGCACAGTTCCAAAATTGATTATATGGTTGCGTTGCGTTAAAGCGTCACAATCCAACTCTGCAAATGTTAAAAACGCAATCTCGAAAAATACCCAATAGGTCCCTTTTAAAGCTTTAATCCATTTATACTCAAATTCTTATATCTTAGAATAAACGAGTCGGCTTAAAGCAATTGCTTTCAATCAGTATTTTATAAACTTTCTCTTGCAGCAGACTCAAGTTGATAGTCCCCTTGTCAAGATATCAGTCTAGCCAATGAGCTTCATTTTGAGAGAAATAGCTGTTGATCTCGACCAATAAGAGATTAATAGATGCGCCCTTGGTCCACGTAGGTCTATTAAGTGTGATGATAGAGTTAGCAATATTATCAATATATTCTATGTATAATAACTTTGTCGCCCTCCTATCTCTGATTTTGCCAGAATATTGCAATGCTTATATAATCTCTGGAACATTAGTACAGGGAGACCGCACTGTCCCGTGGTTAATACATCTATTAACAACGGTTCCTAATGAACCCATACTTGAACGTGATGCTACAAAAGAACGAACGCATTAATGATATAAGTACAAGAAAAACACTTATCCAGCTTCGCATTAATTTAATGGTTCTTTAATAGGTTTTTGTTCTTCACTAATTGCGCTTTGTGCATCGGCTATATCGGCAATATACGGATACAATGGGATGGGTAATTGTCGTTTAATAGATGCCAATTCTTAGAGAGTTGCTAATGATTCTCTAGAAGACAAAGTCACGTTTCATATCCCTACTTCATAGCTTCATTAGTCTATTTATTCCCTTAATATGCGTTCATATATTTTTTCCAGACTACCACATATATGTGTCGATAAATTCTGATATATAATTGCAATTTAAGTGTCTTTTCAGAATCGGTTTGAACAGGCTCGATTAAAGCGTTTTACTTGTTTTCGACTTTGGATTGCTGAGTACACATCGGAGACAGCATTTTCCTTTTTGTGACTAAGACAATTACATAAGTAACGATGAGCAAGTTCAGAAGATCGTTGCGGTTTGCGAAACAGTCCAATAAAATCGAATTAATGCCGAACCAAAGTAGTAACTCAGAGTCTCAGACCGTGCCCAGTAATATTTTCGTGAATAGAGACGACACATGGTAGTTGGAGATTTCCTGCAAACTTGAAATCACTGGAAACATTTTGGGTGGATAGACAAATGTGATAAATTATTTGCGAGACTTTGTGTGATCAATACATAAATTGCGTGTCTGATCAATCTAATTAAGACGGTTCCTTACTGGAAAATTTCCATTTAATTGAGAAGCGATGCGGAGTCAATATTAAGTGGTATTAGCATTTAAAGCTGTAATCACATAGAGTCAATGCTTGCAAGATGAGACTACCAATTAACAGGCTAAATGCTCTCGTGTCATTCAGAGAACAATCCGGCCGATGTTGACAACATTTCATATTGCTCTTTGGCGACTCTCTGCTCCTAGGTCCCGTGGGCAATTTCCCTCTTTTCGTTCAGCGCATCTGGGAATTCACCTAACATGTTTTGCATTTTCTTATTAGACTCGGACAAGTGTTTGTTTGGTTGATTGATTCTGTATGTTTGTTTGTTTACTTATTTATTTGTTTTTGTTGGATATTGTTTGTGGTGAGATTATTGGATATGCACCGCAAATTGTTTCCTTAAAATGTTCATCTCCGAAAGCACGACAATGGCAATTATTCGGTCCCTCTTTCCAACTCTACCCCACACCAAGGTGTAAAGTGCTAAAACACTAACGTGTAAAGGTATCACTGGTGGGATAACACGTAAATATGGGCATGCACGTGGTCGAAATAATCGTCACTTTTAAAACTTGATTGCCAACTATCCACTATCACGCAATTTAACGTTTTTAGCTTTTAACAATCATTTTAAAATCAAAGGTGTTAGTTATGGTCCACGCCCCCATTGCTTCTAAAAGAGAGTAAACTTTAAACATAGCTCAAAATACAATTCAAATAGTTCGGCTTGGCTTTAGCATTTTGGGAGGCTATATGATACGTATCGCATACACTGCCCTCCACATATTTGGAACAGCGACGCTGTTGACAAAAATATCTGGGAAATCTAAAGTTTACGTTTTATCAACAGTTTATTTTTTGTTTTGTCATTAATGCAGCTAGTATTTTAGGATACTTTTTAGATACTAGTATGCGGTATGGCAAGGTTACAACCAAAATACATCTCAGTCCTCATATTTTAACAAGACAACAAATCATAATGCAAGTAGAGAATTAAAAAAAAGTTTCTTAACTTATGGAGGGGGTGTAGATACAGATTACACCAACAATTGTACAAAAGATAAGATATTTCAACAAGACAACAAATCATAATTGCATGTAGAGAATTAAAAAAAGCATCTTAACTTATGGAGGGGGTGTAGATACAGATTACACCAACAATTGTACAAAAGCTAAGATTACCAGACAAACGTCAAGAAAGAAAACAGGCGCAACTGGTGATAAGTTAATAGCCGAATGTGTTGAAACACAAGTAGTGATTAAGGTATATTAAAGCCCATTTGAGATGCTCGATTCCATGGGTGTTTTTACAATCAATTTATTTGTTGATTTTAGCGAAGCTGAAGTGAGGGACGTTTTCAAGCCAAGTCTGGTTTCGATAAAATGAAAGTAAACTACGAGATATGGACAGTAGACATGGAACGACGATTGTTTTTGTTTCTGAGCACATAAAATCTCATCCCTGGTGATATATTGTCCCATTCACCTTAATTTGTTCTTGATAAAAGCCTTTAATGCTGATGATAAAATACGGTCACTAATCCGGCTGAACGTCTTGGCTACTGGTTAGAAAAGAAGGTCTGCTTTAATTTGAAGCATCTCCTTTAGGAGAAATGGGAGACAAAATACTATGGATTATATTACTCCAATGTGAACGCAAAAGTAAAAAAGGTCAGTAGTAGAAGAAATGAGGCTATCGTGTCACAAATGAATCGCGGCGAGTGTCTAGCTAGTTAGCTCGTATCACCGACCGAAATTGATTATTCGCCAGCGTGGAATTTCATAGCCACTCTGAAGACTTGGAATTAATATAAATTGTTCATTTTTTGCTAAAATCATCGCCACGGTAATACATATTATTTTCTCCGTATTTCTTATCGGACAAGGTTCTAATTATGGCACCAAAGTAATCACCCAGTCAAGCAAAATTAATTGCATTTTAAATGAGAGGCTAAATTAACGGTTATCTTGACTAAATAGCTGACAAAGTGACAAGTACTTAGCTTAAATCTTTTTCTTATTGGCCCTAACTTCCGTTATTAATGGAGAGGGTAAGTAACAGCAAAGATATGCCAAGCAATATCTCCATGTTATGGATCCCAAATGGACGCAACCTTCTTACGTGGAATAAACTTCTCGGTAATTGCAGAGTATGCACTGTAAAAACGAACATCACATGAATGCGGACACAATTGTTCGACTTCGCAGCGTAATGAAACAAATGATTTTGTGTTAGTTTTTACATAAAGAAATCTGCAATTGCGTTTTGTTAGATATAGAATTTGTTTACGCATTGACAGTATGTATGATTGCAATTGATCAAAATTCTAAAAAATCTCAAGACTGCTTCGGCAGAATTCGACTTCAATTATAGTTTAAATTGCCAAAGAATGTAGAAAAGGGTTATTAGGAAAAATTATGGGCAATTAGCGGCGACTCGCTTATTTTACTCCCGTAAATCTGTCAGCAGCCTAGGTTCTACTTAGCCCACTCATGATAAGAGGTCTTTTTACCAAAATATATTCATATTAAATTTCTTTTCCCCATCGTATGTAATGTAAAACAGTTTCAAGATTGTTGCCAAACATTTTACAGTCTGCCCCTATACTTCAGACGTCTGTATTACATGAACTGAAGTGGCTCAGTATATTTCTGAAAGTAAAGAATCCGCATCTGTTGACTATTCGAATAATTCAATTATAGGTCTATCGATTTTATAAATTCATTCATAAAACATTAGGATAAACAGCGCCAAAATGAATTGATCATACTGCTTTTAGTTTGAAGAGGAGTTCGACATAGGAATTTTGCTCAATGAGTGAGTAGTGCGCAAAATGGCGTTCGAACCCCGAGCGCGACATTGCGCCATCTACAACGTGTAGGTTAAAACACGATTTCCGTACTTTGACTCATTAATGACGGGTCTGTTTGATAAGTAGGTTCTACTCAGAGAATTGTGGAGTCCTTTAGCTAAGAAATTGCAATTACCAAGCGTGCATGATAGCGCTTAGAATTAAGTAGTGAGCTAAATTGTTCGTCTACACGGATTCGGATCATAAGACATTTCCGAGAGGAAGCAAGACCTTAATTAATGGCCCATGCTTCATTTTAATAGCAATATTGCCTCTTCTCTGGATGACTTTATGGTTAGGATCACGGTATTTGGCACTCTTTAATTGGGTTGGAAAGACAATCGACTTGATGCGCTGAAATGTAACTTTGATGTCGATTTCTGGTTTCAATGCCCACATGGGTGGAACAATAGGCCAAATAGCTGAACATGCAAAACGTCTTTATGTTGAATTCAATAGAGGACACTTAGTCCTTTATTAGATATAGTTCCGGAGTTGAAGTGAACATGATTTAGAGCAAATGAAAAAGGCATCTTTGTCTATTATGAGTTTACAAATCGGACATGCAGGCACTCCTCTTGTTATATCGAGGACTTTATTTACTTGGGGGGTGGGGGTGGCACTGGGACCTTTAATTGTAACAGAAGCATTATATTTTGTCGCACATACGAAGTATCAAATCCCACCGAACAAAAAACATGTTTGTATAAATAGCGGCTATCTTGAAAGTTTCTCCTTAAGTCCCTTGATATCAGCATATAAAACTTGAACCAAATCCCTCCACTGGTATTTAAATTTTATGTTTTTTACGAAATATGGCGGCTATTTTGAACTTCAGCTGCTTCACTGAAAATTTCCTCTTGAACAGAGCTTTGTCCCTAGGCATGAGTATATAAAAGAATCAATCGGTATACTTATATTTGAGTTGTCAAATATTACGTTTTTCATTGAAATTGGCGGCTATTTTGAAATTCAATGGCCATCTTGAAAATGTCTTCTTTCGTCTCTAGGCACGAAGCATATAAAATTTGAACCAA